CAGAGCTGTCTATATTTATCGAACATCGAACGCCACTTGATGTCTAATGCATTGTTATAGCTTACATCTACAAATGAATATTTATCTTACTACTTACTAATATTATAAATGCGAATGAATGGATGGATAAATATTTGATTGAAGGTATCTTCAGAACGGCTGAATGGTTGAAATTTGGCACAGATATAGAACATAGTCTGGAAGAACACATAGCATACTAACTAAGCCGGACAAAGTCACGGGCGGCAGCTAGTTCTTTTAATAAACGCCACGCGTACATGTATAAAAAGCTGTTTTTTTTTATAATAAAACGTTGCAACTGTGTGAATGTTTCATTCAATACGAGGAAAACGAGAGGAATTCACCACACGGCTATTCATAATTTTCTCCTTATTTATTTTTAGATATGTGATTGAGCTTAAACACGCGCACCGCATAAAGCTAAAACAAGCAACTTGTATCGTTGTTTACTGCGAGTATTCACTGTTTAAACATGTAACATGTTTAAAAAATTCTAGCTTGATATCTTAACTCATCTGAGAAAAAGGTTCTCTACAGACAGGCGGACGGACAACAAAGTGATCCTATATTGTGTTTTTTTTTTCCTTTCGAGGTGCGGATCCCTAAAACAGTCAACTCTTAACACTGAAAGAAATACAGACAATTATGTTGAAGTCTTATAACAGTGGTGCTTTCTTCGTAATAAATTCAGCGTGCCCTTGACCTAGAGTGGTAATCAGAGCTCTCGAAATTCCACACCATTCTGATTCATATATCTCGTTTAATAGAACTATCAAGATGTGTTTAAGTTGTATTCCAATATCTAATTCAAAACTAAATCAATGTACATAAAAAACTGAAAAATTTCCAATTGTTTTAAATGTTTTTGGACTTAAAGCTAGTATATTTTTTTACGTTAATAACTCTGCCAACGTATACGTCGGACTTTAATAACCGACGTCATTCGAATGCTTTCATGATGAAAGATGCATATCCGTTTAACGTTTAAAAATAACAATTTAAAATTATTCCATAGAACAAACGGCTTGTAAATACTCTTTTATGACTTGCAACGAAGAATATAGATTTTATTGCGAAAAATTTCCATAGTTGCCGGAAGCATGCGCGATATAACAACCGCAGGTCGGCCATCTTGGATTGTATTGTCTGAACAGGACAGCCATAAAATTGAAGACGACAATTTTAAATCTATTATAACATCTGTGATAACGGAAAGTAATAAAGGTTACAAGATTAGTACAAGATACATTTACATGTAAACATAGTAGATGAGAAAGCTAATAGTAGGTCATAACAAACATATTGTCATCCTTGCCATTATCTTTGAAATGGGATATCAATACGTTTTAAACTGAGAATTTGGTCTCAGAAATTCAAGGTTAATCTATGTAGACATGACTTATACGGATTTGACAAGCTCATGCGACTAAATAAGCGCCATGAAACGTAAAACGAGATGTTTGAATAGCTACTCCTATAATCAAGGAGTTTACTTTCCCCTTTGTTAGGCAGCGTGTACACATAGTACAAATTTTGACTACAAATAGTCAAGTAAATATTTATTTACGTGTTCCATTTAAAGATATACCTACAGCCTTTTGGCTGCCGTTGATCATAATTAAATACTTTATTATTCGTGAAATTAAACAAATGTCATATTTTAATTCCTGCTATTTAGACATCTGACAGAAAAAGACTATCCAATCTTGCTAATATTATAACCGAGAATGTTTGCATAGATGGATGTTTGTTAGCAGATATCTCCAGAAAAACTGCATGAATCTCTCTGAAATTTGGCATAGACCTAGAACATATTGTGGAAGAATACATAGGCTACTAATTAAGTCTTTTTAATACAGCGCGGGCAGAGTCACGGGCGTCAGCTAGTATTGTCATAAAACGTTCAGATCTTCAATATTGCATTTCTCTTCACCTTATTTTAATAGTCCTCGGGACGTCGTCGACGTTTAAGTTGTACTTATCCGCCTTAAATATTTTATCACGCAACTTAGATTGCTCTCATCCGGGCTAAGTGGCTCTCAGTTTACTTAACTCTTGCTGGACCCACTTGAAGACTGTATATCTTCTTTTATAAAAATAAACAATTGGTTTTTATATTCCTATGTATTTAAAGATTTATTACCAGAATTAAGCCAGGAGACGTAACTTGGTTGTTACGATAAAAACGTTAGCAGTGTATCACAAGCAAATGGTTCGAACATCGCCTGTACGAGTGTTGTACAAAAATCAAAAGCATCGTTGTACGATGTAGCGATGCACGAAACTCCTAAAAAGATACGAGCACTCACATTTTATGGTACTGTAAAACGAAAATAACAAATGAAAGCTTACAGACTTCGCGGCATATGTTCCTTTACTATTTAAAACTCATCAAAGCGATTTTATGGTACTGAATTCGAAATTTAAAATAGTGATTTTATTGGTACGTGCGCAAAATGTAGTAAACATTATCACAGTGGGCCTGGCACGAATATTTGCAACAGGCGCCATCGTATTGTCGTCAATTATGTCAAAATTAGTATGAGATTTTTGGTGTACTTTACGACCAGGGAACTGCACAAATTCTCATACAAATTTTGTCGATGGCGATACGATGGCGCTTGTCACTCGTTCATGCTTGGCCCACAGTACTTAACTTATACTTTTATTTGTACTAAACTCAAAAAGCAATATTTAAAATAAAACAGGAACAAAGTAATCAAAAAGATTTTCCTAGGTCATGCCATTCTGCCAACTACATAATTTTTCTATGCTCCACCCATTTTCATGATGAGTTAAACATTACATCTGTTGTAATTGAAAACCAAATGGAAAAGGGTCTGGACCGAGGTGTACTCAACTATCTTCTAATTGAATGTAAACTTCGATAGGACTGACACCGGTTTACAGAAATTGAAGCCTTCTGTAAACTTACAAGTTTAGGGTCTACCTACAAGGGATTCGAGGACAAGTCTTGAAATTATTCCTAAATTTACATTTAGTTAACTGTTTAGTTTTACCATGTATTTTACACGAAAGACATTAGTATTATTCAAAGAATTCTACGGTTTAACAAAGAACCTCTTAAAAACCTCGTGACTAGAATTAGTCTTTATCACTTTATTTTATAATATAAGCTTATTTAGTTTTTCAAACCACCCAAACTAAGAATTTAAAGCAATGGTTGGTTTGATCGGGACAAACTAAACCTCTGTTGAACCATCTTTATACCAATAAACGCTTTTTTATCAGTTCTGTTTTATACGTAATGTATTCTAAGGCAGCGACTATGGAGGAGTGTCGGCGCCTGGTAAAGCGGGTCACTGATACTTGATGACCACGACTAGTCTGAAAAGACTGCAATGACGAAGGAGAAGAATTCTTGCCCTTTTTAACCCAGCAAGGCTGAGTTTTATAAAACTTAATATGTAGCCTGTTTGTTCTTCCAGACTATCTTCTACATCTATGCTAAATTTCAGCGAGATGAGAGATGCGTCCACAGTATTACAGTTACGAAGTTTGAAAAACTGTCGGAGACCTTAAACCTTCCTATGAGACTAACATTTATAGATAAATAACCGATAGATGAAGTGTTTCGTATAAGTTTGACGTTTGATTGTGTGTTATTATGAATCAAAATATTAACCAGCGACAAGAGCTCACAAACTATTGTATCTATTCAAAAACGGTGAGCACAAATTGAATTCTCATTTTAAATAAATAGCATTGCATTTATCACTTTGCATGGAAATTGTTTGATTTCCGGCTTTCAATCGTTTCATATATCATCTGACACAATGTTCCACAACGGGTGTACAATCGTAGAACGAACGAGCATTTCGATTGGCGGATGGCCGCGAGAGCTTGCCATAAACGAGATGGCATTTGGAATCACGCGACCGCCGCCAAAGGCCAGCAATATCCGGCCACAGCGGCCATAACCCGGCGGGTTTATGTGACCCGGTTTCTCTGGACCTCTGATCCTTTTCGCCTTTCACTGCCACTTTGCTTGATCGCCAAAGATAAGGTGGTTTCACAATTGTTCGAGTTATAGCTCTTTTGATCTTGAACCTTTGATGTTATAATTTTGTGTTTCAAATAATATATGTATATTTAACCTGTTTTTTTATGTTACACGTAAAAAATTCGTGCTGAGATTATTATTTCCAGATTATGATAAAGATTGTTGGTAGACTTACATTTCCGAAGAAACACTGGACCGAACCTATACTTTTTTAGAGTGAGTCATGACAATACCTTTTTATATGTTTTTCCGTAGTAGAAATTCGTAATATAGCCTGCAATTTTTCATAAAATTATTTTTCCATTTATTACGTGTAAAGACAATTTTTTTCACTTTACGTCATGAATAACTATAAAAAGTATTTTTAGTAATTCAAAATATCTACCCAGATACCATCCTAATCATGACGATATTCAGAATATAAAATACACCGGTGAAAGATTTTTCAAATGTAACTAAAAACTAAAAGTAAAGTAGGTAATTTAAAAAAAACACAGAGAAAAGAATTTGGTTACGCGTCATACATGCCGATTGGTGAGTCATTATTCTCGGTACACAAATCGAATCATGAAAAAGAAAAGCTTTGCACAAATTCCTCTTAGAAATTACCACGAGCCGAGTTCATTCCACAATTTTAATTGTAAACTATATAGTTGTATCGGGTCTAGAGATGAACTATGGGCGTGTTTTATTCTTTTCTGTAAACTACCCGTCTGGATATTCCAAAACTAAATCGGTACTAGTTGTGAAACCTGATTTTTTTTAATTTTTATCTGAATACATTGATATGTTGCAAATTTGAAATAAAAAAGCTTTATACGACGCAGAAGAAAAGCAACATTATTCGTCATTCGAGGATGCAATGACCAAAATACTGACGAACGACGCAAGGTTGTCGATTATAAAATGGCCGTATCTTAACCAAATAGAGCATTATCTTGTCTCCGATACTCACGTTTGCCGGATCATGGACGTGGTCACTTTTAACAAGCGGTATGAGAACACAATTCACTGTCAGTGGGTCATCGGGTATGAGAGGTAGTGGGCTAGCACTGGCGTGTATAATTAGAGAAGCTACGGTGCTCGCGGCGCGTCGTGACGGTCCGACGGTTGGGCGGCGACTGGGCGCCCCGCCGGCGCCGTGTGCCGCCGCCCGCCCCCCGTCTTATCACAAGAATAAAATTTATTTGATGCTAGTTTCACACCAGGACAGCACCAGAGAAATAGGTTAGTAGACAGTGCAGTACTACTATTATTTTGAGGCACAATATTTTATTCAACAGTAATATTCTGTTCGTCGGTGTTTGTGTTCAAACAATGGCAGTACTGCACTGTGTATTGTTCTGCTTTCCTGTTCTACCCTCGTATGATACTTAGCATAACGAATAATCGTCTCAGCGATGGCCTCACCATTCAAATTTTGCATTTGATGATTATTTTATTGATGTTTCAAGCGTTGGTCCCTCCGGTTTATGAAATTTGTCACGTAATAAAACCTATTAATTAAACGTTGAAGTGAAATCGGATACATTTGACTAAAAGCTTGGTTAATGATGATAAGCCGATTACAGTCTTTTGATACTTTTATGGATTTGAAACTGAAATATTTGTAAATATTGTTTAAAATAGATTAAGCTCCATAGACGTCCCTTTGACCTATATATAAAATACTAGGTTTCGCCCGCGAATCAATCCGCACGGAAGGAAAAAAAATGGAAGCCTATGTGTTCTTCTAGATAATATTCTATCTTTGCCAAATTTTAACAAGATCCAAGCAGCCGTTCTGGAGATACCTTCGAACAAACATCCATCCATCCATCCATCCAAACATAGCATCGCATTTATAATATTAGTAAGAGCTGAGATATATTACTACTCCATATTAATGCGGTTAAAAAATAATTCCCTATCGTTTGAACAACATACATTAAACCGAAAAGAACGGCTACGAAAAAAGTACTCAAACGTCTACACAAACATAAGAAAATTAACTGAGCTTTGAGAATTTACAGCTTTTACAGCAGTCAATAGAGCAAAAGTCTTGGCGCTTTCAAAGACATTCAAATGAATTCCGTTGGAAAATTACATTTCCAGTTAGACTTTTAGTACATTTGCTTTAATTAAATACAGGTTAAACCTAATCAAGGCGATATTAATTATGTTATCATTTAGTGTGTAATAAATATATAAGAATCTTTATGAACACTTTATTTTCTCTTTATGTTAACTTCTAACAGAGTTATCCATGACAGTCAAATAAATTTAACCTGCTTGAAATAAAAAAATCACGTTGTATATTACCAAAAAAAAAATTGTGTTTAAAATATTGATACAACAATATTATAAAGAGGTAAAATTTTTTTGTTTTTTTTTGCATTACATAAGCTCCGAAACTACTGAGCCGATTAGAAAAATTATTTTACTGTTGGGAAGCTACATTCATTACTATATCTTTTTATAATTCCATAAAGACGAAGTTGCTATCAACTATATTTAATAAAATTAATATTGAATAAATGTATTCTTCAGATATAAAACATTTATTAAATACCGACAAACGACATTTATTTAATAATTGAAAAAAACTGTACAAAAACTTGGGCATACTCTTATTTCATTAAAAGGTTAGCTAAATTTCAATATGTCAAATAAAAGGCAAAGTAAATATATTGAGATATCGCAAACACCGTAAATCATATCAATTTATGACTAAAGGTCATCGCTCCTGCTCGCAGAGCCGGGCTCTACCTAGATAATCAGTCTTGATAACCAAATACCCACCAAGGCAATAAATTATATTTAGAACATTTTAACCATTTCCAACTATCATTTACAAAAGCAAGAGTTGTCCATCTTTGGCATCCTGTGATCTTTATTTTAAAAACTAGCTGTCGTCCGCGACTCCGTCCGCGTGGATATATAAAAAACTTAATTAGTGTAGCAGCCCACCCATCCATCCATCCAACTAAACATTCGCATTTGTAATATTAGCAAGTTAAATAAAAAGCAGCTCTTCAAGGCATGAATTCGCAAAAAAAATAGTATCCTATGTCCGTCTCCTGGCTCTAAGCTACCTCCTCACCAATTTTCAGCCATATCAGTAAAGCCGTTCTTGAGTTATAAATAGTGTAACTAATACGACTTTCTTATATATATAGATATTATCATTACAGTGTGTTATGCTTTTATTAATTCATAATGTAAACGTCTCATGTTATCATTTGGACCCCACATCATCATAAAAGGTCAGAGTGTAAGTAAAGGTGATCCTATCCCGCGACCCAGTTTGAAATTTCTAGAAGCGTACTACCATAAACCTATTTGTCAACGCCGCTTCTGATTAATGCAGATTAATGTTATTTTACCAGAATGGAAATTATATAATATAAAAATCATAATTACCTAGTAACTAAAAATAAATAAATACTTATGTTTTTGTTTAATACTACAATGCGCTAAATATACGATACCAGTCTCTCTTCAAAATATGTTACTTCTTAAAAATTTTGGTAATTTGTAAAAGTAATCCTTAATAATCTCCTCAAAAAAATTAGTTACATTAAAATACACTTTTGTCTTCTGACATAAACCATGTTGTAATGCCATCAAATGATAATCTGTATCCGTTGTTAGTTGAATATTGTTTTTTTCAATATTTTAAATTGCATATAAGTAATTAAAAGTCAACGCTTATAGGAACAATGTTTATATATCTTATATATAAAATTCATTTATCAATGATAGTAAACATACACCGACAGCGTCTCTCAGCTGGTGATCTTCTTGCGTATATCACGCATCGATGGTCGGAGACAATCGATGGCAAGGGGGAGCCCTGGCTGTTAGTTTGGACGTGGCTAAGGCCTTTGATCGGGTGTGGTGTTTGATAGAGCGAAGCAGTATTTCCAACCGGGCCACCGACTTCAGCTATATAAGGCGCAAGTTCGGCCCCACATGGAATACTGCTCGCATCTCTGGGCGGGTGCACCCCAGTACCAAGTTTTATATTCAGTAGGTCTGAGAATTGGCTACTTCTACTTTTAAATACCACGCGGACGGAGTCGCGGTCAATAAAATATAAATAGAATACATGAATCAGAGTAAAAAATGCATAGTATAATGAATTTGAATATAATTATGGGCTCATTTAATATTTTAACCTATTAACATTATTTCAAATTATTATTATTAAGCACTATTAAACATGTAAATTTATGCATATTTCCAAAAACTTTCAAGGCCTAATTTCGGTTTTTATATGACGTCTTTAAATTTTATCTAGCGAAAAGCAAAACTATAAAAATATTATAAATACAGTATTTTATAAATGATTACATTGTTTTGACGTGACGTACATTTCGACCTTCGATTGGCACCGTCAAAAAAAACAAGTGCTAATCAAGATCTGGACTGACAACTTAAGGCCAAGCAATCGAGACAAAGTTTAAACCATAGCCGGATGTAGATATGGTTGCGTCGCGGAGACCTCCGTAGTACGCAGAAAACATCTACAACAATTAATTAGTAAAAATAGCGTAAGCGGCGTATTCGTTTTTTAACCCTTTAACGGTCGTAAGGAGTGGACGGTGGAAAAATAAATTTGATAATGGTTAAGGGTATATAATAGAAGTAAAAACATATATATTATATTTCTATGGTGGGAAATATATTCCCTCTACCGGTTAGATTCTATTCTCAATTTTATTGTCTTTTCACGCGCCCGACCTAAATTTTTTTTTGTGACTGATTTGCCTTGAGAAGGCATTTACAGCTTCACCGGGCTTGAGGTGGCGCAAGCGCAGATGGCTCCCTCGACTGGCTAAGCTCGAGTGCTCCCTTAGGAACCTCGGCTAGGGCCGTTATTACTACCGAATTGGGAGGCCGCTGAGCTCTTAGGTCGCTTCGGTAGACGTTCCATGGAGTGAAGGGGCTCAAAGGCTCCCGAGAGGGGACCTCGGCTTGGGCTGTCATTCAATGCGCGTTTAGCATTCCAATTCAAGGGTGCCCGAGAGGGCCGAACATCGGCTTGATCGGTTCCTGTTGTCTGATTATTATTAATATTGATGCATCTATCATTCCTACCACTTCGGAAAGTGTTAGCGCTGGGAGAAGAAATGTCGGAAGAAACTCCAACTACGCTTCCATCGTTGACAGGTGAAAACCTGCCTGCTATGAGGCCATATCGCGAGAATGATTCCCGTAGCCGGCAGCGACTGCGGTGTGACTGCAAAGTTGTTTAACCCTAGGCTGAGCGATGGTAGTTGCATCATCTTGAAAGTCAAGGACGTGTCTAGGTCTATGATAATCATGGCGAAATTTACCGAGCGCGATTGAATTGTAGGTGACGGCACCTACAACTAGCGGATTAGGGTGCCGGTTCTATTTACTCTCTACACTAATGATATCCCGCGCGTACATGGTGATCCGGAAAATTCACTTCCACTTCCTGTACTTTTCTTATCAGAGAAAGGGTAATAAGTGAAAGGGGACTAAAATTAGGCCTTCGGTACTACAGTCATCAAACGAAACGCGGAATTTCCCCCATTTGACGCCTGTCTTCTGTGCGGACGTGGTATTCCACCGGGCGAACCGGCCATTTCGTGAGATGTTAAAGCGGGCTCTACCACTATTAATAAGATATATGTCATCGCGTTCGTTTAATTTAGGATATTTAAAAAGCTATAATTCATTCGTACAGCATTTTTATACGAGTCGTCTAGTTAAGCCTACGTAAGCCAGCCAAGCGAAATCGTCCCTTCTTAACCGACATTTTGGTACGCTAATAACTCAAAAATTCGTGTTCGTTTTTAATTTAAAAAAGGTCCATATGACAAGCACTACCTGTAACAATAAAATTCTGCAAAACGGCCGTTACTCTGTTTAATGACATAAAAATTCCTAAGATCCTGTCTATAGAAGAGTTTCAATTCCAGAAATTCGCGCAAGAATGAACTTCTTCCTCTAGTGCCTTTTCAGTCTTGAAGGTTGATCGCTAACTTGGAATATTTGTTCCTGTCAAGTGCATTCGAAACAGTTCCTCCGCTGACCTAATCCCCGTACACTAACTAATATTGCGTAGCCACGACTTTTTCCTACGTCCAGCGCGGCTATTGCCTTCAACCTTTCCCATCATTATCAGCTGAAGTAACTTATACCTGTCATGCCGCAGTGCATAGTCCAAGTTTTCCACTTTACGGTCTGCATGAATTTTCGGCTCATGGCCACGCACTGGAGCACCATCTCGGTTCAACTATGTGCACGAAATAAAAAATATATATATTTTGATACTGAAACTCAAATGTTATTTATATCTGTAGATCTTAATTTTTTTCCTCCAAGCTCGGTGTCTGTTAAGCTACAAAAATATAATACTAAAATCAGGTTATCAAGGATTTTAATTAAATTCTAGCGTCTAACATGCAATATCGTTTTGCAACATCACTTGTCGTTTAGTAAATCTTTCGTGTGGTCGTTCTGCATATATTTTATGCACAAATTGTGTTGTGATGCGTATATAATTAAAGCTAACATGAATAAAAATATGATAATAATAATTTTGTTCTTCATCTTTTGCCGAGCATCGGCAGTGATTTACCAATTAAACAGTAAGTAGATAACAAATGCATAGACAAAAATTTTTCGTATAGTATTATTTAGTTGAATACCATTTATTCCAAAAATTAAAACTTAAATAACTATAATTTTACTGATCAGATTTATGTGAAAATGTTGTCTGTCTTTAATTAATATAAGCTGTTGCGAACGACTAATCAGCATAGAATTTAAAAAATAAAAATTATTTTTCATATTAGTAGAGAAGGCGAAACAGATATTTTGGAATTGACCAGATCGTGATTAAATCCCAAAATCCCTGCTTCTCCTCTCCTACGCAAGTAACGAACATAAACACTTTTTTAATTCAATTGTCACAGATGTTTCGCTCTGGCAAAAAATATAAATGGTTTCTTTATATCTATATAACATATATAACCTATAATTTTTATTAATTGTTGTATTACATTTGTTTTTTTTTTCAGAAACAGAATATGTTAAAATGCCACCAATGTTCCATCTTGACCGATACGAGCTATGCATAGACCAAACCGGAGGAATCTATTGTATTGCGGAAATAGATTTAGTTGCAGACAGTGACAACGATCTCTTAAAAATGATACGTGTAAGATTTATTTAGGTAATAATACTAGTCAGACAACATCTAAAAAAACGGGGCGATTAGGAATTCAATAGATACGTGTACATTGCACGTATATTTATGTATATTATATCTTAATGCGAATGTTTGGGTGTTTGTTAGAAGGCATATCCAGAACGGCTACATGGATCACGCTGAAATTCGACATAAGAATACATAGGCTACTAATTAACAATTATTTTCACATAAGCGAGCGGAGTCGCGGGCGACATTTAGTATTTTTTTTTTCAAAGAGAACGAGGGATATTACGTCATGTAAACCGAAAGTACGTCTACCGCCATCGAACGCAACTGTACTTACAAATATTCCCGCAAAAAATTTATTGGCCTGTTACTTGTTCACATATAACACTACTTATCCCTAAAATAAAACCAGAGGTATTTTAAATGATTTATCAATCGTTTAAGTTGTAAATCTTACAGGAATACAGCGAGCGGAAGGAAACTCATTTCAATCATTCGCGGCTGCATTATGGTATTTGTTTGACGAAAATGTGCAAAGACTATTTAAAACCAAACACGACAAGTTCAAAAGATTTTAATTTAGTTATTGAACAATGTTTGAATACATCATTTTGGGAGCAATATAAGTTGAAAACTAGAATAAAAGAAGATACGATGTGTCATACTAAAGACCAGTATTATCCTATAGAGCCAATAGACATAGTTGTCGCAGTGATACTTTTATGTATATTAATATTAAACTTGTCTGGAAGTGTTTACCATATACTAATTGTTAAGAAGAATTATTCAGGTAAATAATTGTTAGTTACATAATTTTCGACGACGTCGTTTGTCGATTGTTTCATCATCTCCAAATTGGTCATCTCTTTAAACGATATATTTGTCTGACAGGCAATAAGTGGCTGCTATACTTTTCAATCCAACGGAACTGGTCCAAATTAATAGAAACGACTGATAACAGAAAAAATGAACGTTTAAAAGGTTTAAACGGAATGAAGTATGTATATAAATTAAAGGAATTATTAGGGGATCCAAGGGCTGGCGCGCATTTCGGCCAAAGGTTGAGCCTGGCCATCCAACGGGGAAATGCCGCCAGCCTCTTGGGAACCCTACCGTGCGACCGCAGCGATTTGGGGTCGATTTTTTATATTATTTAGTTTTATTTTTAGTTTGGTTTAGTTTTAGTATATAGTTTATAGTATTATTTTGGTAGTTTAATTAATTAGTTTTATTAAATACGCTAAGTTCATTAATTATTGTATAATAATAAGTATAGTTCATTAAGTCTATTATAATTTCATCAACTACTTAACTATAATTAAATTTAAATAAAATTATATTAATTATTACTACCATCAAAAATTATAGCTAAATAAAGCTAATTAATCATTGCCCCATTCTATGATGAATTTGAACTACAAATTTTTGTAAAAAAAAATATTTCTCACCCGACATTTCCGTACTATCTTATTTCAGTTTTATGCATATAGTTGTTTAAACTCCTTTTAATAGTAGAGCCCGCAATCAATTGTTAACAATTGTTGCTCAAATGGTCCGTCTGGCCTGTAAAATACCACGACCAGAAGAAGACAACTGGATGTAATTTGCGGAAGTAAATTAAAAGAAATAATTTTACATTATTATGAAGAAATATGTTGAAAGAAAATTTACAGCATTTTTTATAGTAGAACTTTTCTTAACTTTTCAGAGTAATTACAACAACCCTGATAGTACTTTTACACTCTCAAATTCCCTTCGCATTTTTTGTAGATAATGAGCAGTTCTTAGAAAGAGTAAGTAGATCTAAAATATTATTTGAGAGCTCCGTTTTACTAGCGATGTCAAGTTTCAGAAGTTTGAAATCGATCGCGCAAAAGCTTGGCGGCCAATGTGAAAACGCGCCCGCGACCGTATGAAGAAGCACAAAGGACTGCTTATTTGCACTGCGGGAACGTTTTTAAACAATGACATTTATGGCTCATGGACTTTTTTCTGCTTCAATAAATTAATTTTAATATGAACTATGGGATCGAGCATAATTATAATTAAGTTAAACATAATTGACCTTTTCAAAAGTTATTGCTCATTTTCTGTTATTTTTTTTTTATGTTTCAGGGCTATAGTAATATATTCTACCATTTGCTTTTTGACGGAACTGTAATAGTCCAGACATTCTTCGTAATTTCCGGATGTTTGGCATCATACAATCTCCAATTAAAATCTAAGGAAAATACAATTTGGAAAAGAATATGCAAAAGAATTTTATTAAGATGGTTAAGGTGACTTTAAAATACTTTGAAACATTTACTGACTTTTAAATCACATTTTTTTCGTTGTCCTAACGCCTAGGTGGCGCCCCTGTTTGCTTTACAGTCATTCACTATAGTAAAAAAATAGCCAATTTTTTGTTATAAATCTGTGCTGTGTGTATTTTTTCTCTTGTAGCTGTGTGGTAATAAATATAAAAAAAACACAAGTCACAACCAATGGTCTTACTATCTTACTCTAACTAGATATCTTAGTAATATTATAAATCTTATCTTACTAATATTATAAATGATGAATGCTTGGATGGATGGATGGATGGATGGATGTTTGTTTAAAGGTATCTCCAGAATGGTTCAACGAATCTCGATGGAATTCGGTATACTCGTAGATAATAATCTGGAGGAACATACAGACTACTTACTATTTTTTTTTAATACCGCGCTGATGGATTCGCTTAGTGAGTTCTGGATAAAATGTTGTATTAGAAACAGTAGGTACTAATTATATTTATCTACGTAGTAGGCTTTTCGTAAAAATGCTAATTTCAACAAAAAGCTGTTGTTTTGTACAGTTGAGAGTACAGCAAGTTAATTTATGTTGAACAGACTCACTCCAATTTACGCAATAACTTTAGCCATTACTGCGTCATGGCTAAGATTTGCGGGATCAGGACCGATGTGGCATGTGAGTAATTTATTAAGTGATAAAATAATAATTGAAAATGCTATTTAAACATTAATACAAAAACTACTGCTTCTTTACTTTTTTGAAAAATTATTTTTTTTTTAACAGAAATTTATAGGACCCGAAATTGCCGACTGCCGCCGGGACGGTTGGCAAAACATGCTCTACATAAACAACTACTTTGACAACACTCGCTGCATGGCGCATACATGGTGAGAATGACACTTATAAGAAACATATAATTTTTTTACCCTAATATAAGCCACTTTTACCTGATGCTGACAATGTCCTCCGTGACGTACTCCGCCAATAGCGAACCATTCTAACTCCATGAGTGCGGTCGTAAGTGACTGGCAAATCAAAATGAACTAGTATAGTAACGGAGCACCATTATAAACGAAGGTTAAAAGGTATTCGAGGATAGTAGATAGTTTAAAAGCATTCATAACGGTTCATATTTTATAGGTATGTGGCAGCGGATATGCAGTTGTTTGTTTTGGGAACATTTACGTTGGTACTGACAAGAAGCAATCAGAGGAGACAGGTTGTGCTCTGGTCTATGTTCGTACTTTCTCTCTTCATAGTACCGTTACATACGTATTTTCAAAATTTGTACGCTCACGTTATTATCGCGCCAGAGTAAGTGCTTTTAAAATTATAACACAATTTTACAATTTAACCTTAACCATAAAAAATTAAAGACTAAATAAAGTATATTTCATACTAGTGGTCATTAACGACTTTGTCAGCGCGGAATTAAAAAGTGTAGTCAAATCAAGAGAATAAAAATTCTGGGCTCAGGGCGCTTGAATTGACTTCTTTATAAAATCACCCAAACTAATTGTACTTAAAAGTTACCTCAAGCTTTGTAAAATTCTTTAGGGTATTCTTTATCAAAATGTTATTTTCCTCTGATGTTATTAGGAGGTTGTTAGATGACAAACATGCAAAAATTATAACGACAATTAAATAAAATTCTTTTAAAATTGTTTTACAGACTTGTAATTGAGTTTTTTGTCAAAGATTCCACGTTCAACCACTCTTACAAACGCGGCCACACAAACATGCCATGTTACATTTTAGGGCTCATTGCCGGTTTGATCGTATTTAAATTGCAGAAGAAGCAGATAAATATTGAAAAATATAAGGTAATCCAATCCATTCACCGTCATTGTGCTTCGCGCTTTCACTAGCCTACGCAACACGTCACTCGGCTTTACTGCAATTTACATATAAGCCTGGCCACTAAGGATATGTACGGAGCCGTACGAAAACAACGCTTAAACATTAAATAAATATAGTTCCCTAATATTTAAACATTCGAATTATTTTTTTTTTTACTTTAATGGGTTCCCGAAAGCCATAACCGAAGTTAAATTTAAACAACAATTTCAAAACATTCATTTCACATTCTTCTCTCAAATGTCCAGGATAAGAGCAGTCAAGCTTATTTATATTACTAGCTGTCGCCCGTGACTCCGACCGAGCGGAATTAAAAAAAACATAATTAGTAGCCTGTGTGTTCTTCCAGACTAAATTCTATATGTGTGCCAAATTTCATCAAGATCTGTTTTGCCGTTCTACAGATATCTTCAATCAAACATCCATCTAAACATTCGCATTTATAATATTTATAACATTACTTCATACAAATGTAATGATGTTACAATATTTCTTTTCCAGAAATACAAATATATGTTCTGGGCAATATGTCCTATGATGGTTATATTGATACTATGTTGCGGGTTCTTATACATGGACGGAGTAACACCTCATCTCGAAGTCAGAGCTGCTTTTTCCGGCATATACAGACCTCTCTTTGGATTTTTTATATTCTTTTTTATATTAGGGATGGTAATTAAACTCGAAAGTAAGTTTACTTCATTAATATTCAATTGCTTTAATAATAGTTTTAAAGAAATACTCTTCTACACGTTAATACGAAAAAGACAAATAAGTAGACGAGCCGTGCGAGAGGGGCGCGGCGCTGCGTGCAATGCCTTTACATTTTTCTTACACGTGTTGATAATCTTGAAATGGATAATAGAGGAACTAAATTTTAGAAGTACGGACCATTTACATCTCAAAGCTATGTAGTATACTACTTTCGAAACAGGGTATTGTAGTCAAACAATATTGTAATGTCTTTGTTGTTCTCATCATATACACTTACATTTACAATTTTTATAATCACAAGGCTTACTTATTTATATCTTTATTTACAGATGTTTATAGACCGATATTAGAATGGCGATTCTGGACGTCAATCGTTCGCTTGTCGTACGCCGTCTACATAGTGCATGTGATGTTGATACAAATTAGTGTTTACTCTAGAACTACATTAAATCATTCGACCACATACGAGGCTGTAAGTTATGCTCCTTAAAACTTTTCTTTTATATTATAAGAAAGATCAATAGCTTGTAAGAAAACAGTGGGAAGGTGGACTAAAACTGGGCCTCTGGCGAGGGCCAGTGTGAGTACACTTATTAGACGAAACGCGTTTCGGTTTCTATCACTTATAGAAATAAGAAGATAAAGATTGGAAAAAAAAGAATTCTTGATCTTAGAAAGTGACTTTTACCATATGATTCCTGCTTCCTCTCACATATGTAGCTATCAGAAAACTAAGACAGGCTTAACTTAATACTTAACTTAGACTTACATCCATTGTTCATGTAAAAACAGGATTTTCTGCTAACATCACATAAATCGGACCGCAGCAGTAACATGAAAAAATATAAATACAGTACTGCTTATGGTTTATATAAAATTATTAAAATACTATTTTCATACATGTTGCATATTTTTACGCGAGTTTAATGAATTTCAGATAAAAACATCGCTCGGAACAATCACTTTAAGCTATCTGTTTGCTATACCTTTTTGGTTATTGATCGAATCACCAATTTCGCAACTCGCTCAACATCTAACGTCTACAAGAGAAATAAAAGTTGAAAGTAAGTATCAGTGTGCCAGGACGCTGGTTAACTAGATATAACCCTGAAAGCGGTTCTCCTTTTTACAGATGTAGTTGTGATAGCTTTCAGCAGTTGGTTAATGATTAATTATTCACCACTTTATTGTGAATAAAATTTCGTATATTTTTAAACAGTTGTTTTTTTCTACACATTATATGTATACTACAAACAATCATCAGTCCATCCATCCACCCATCTAAATATCCGCATTTATAATATTAGTATGAAGTATATATAACAGTAGTATACAACAGTGGTGGCTACAACTGTATAATACCATGGCTGTGTAATACTCTTGGTCTGTCAGGAGTTGAAGCATTACTATAGTACGTGACTCAATTTGTGAGAGACTAGATGTATCCAAAGGCAGTATTGTGAGCTGATTGATAATGATAAGAATCATGAATATTAAAAAGAAGCCGCCCAATTAAATTATAACAAAAAAAAATTATATAATATAATACCAAAATTGTTTCATACATTGTCACATACATGCCAAATTTCAGTGTGATCCATGCAGCCATTCTGGAGATACCTTCTAACAAACATCTATTCATCCACCATTCAAAGATTTTCATATTTAATATTAGTGAGGTAAGTAAGTTTTAATTTATCTAGGCAATAATTTGGCTAGGTAATAAGCTAATTCTGGTATTTTTAACCTTTAATTGGAATTAACTCTAATATTAATTAGCACCTGGACTGCCAAGGCGACTCACACTTGAAGGACGAACAAATATCGGGTTTCATAAATTTAGGTTATTAACAACAATGACGTTGCCACATTCAGGCATTGAAACTTGAATATGTAAGCTTAGCCTAAAGCGTAGTTTAGTTCAATCAACGTTCATTTCCAATATTACTAACAGTTAGTTACTGTTATCAACAGTGCCAAACTTTTAAATGTAAAGTGTCAAGTGCCAAAGCTATTACTAAATATCTGAGCATATTAGCTGTAGTTCGCGTCTTCGTCCGCGCGAAATTTAACGAAAACTCAAAAAGTAGCCTAGGTGTTTTTCCAAACTATCCTCGAGCTCTACGCCAAATCACAACGAAATTTTTTAAGGCGTTTTGGAGATGCCTTTAAACAAACATCCATCCATCCATCTAAACATTCGCATTTATAATATTAGTAAGAAGTAAGATAGCAAAATTAAAAAAAAAATCTATATTTTATTATCTTTATGATCGGTTTTTGTCCAATTAATAGTATTCATTTTTATGGGACTAATTTTTGTTAATTTATGTTTATTTCACACAATTCTAATTCAAGTCTTCCATCGGCCAACATATTTTTAAATGATCACTTTACGTTCAGTAAATCTTTTGTGTGGTCGTTCAGCATATTTTTAATACACAAATAGTTTTGCGCTACATTCAATAGTATAATAAAAGGAACATGAATAAAATTTTGATAATAATAATTTTGTTCTTCATCTTTTGCCAAGCAACGGCAGTGATTTATCAATTAAACAGTAAGTAGATAACAAATACATAGACAATTTAAGATTTTTATGATTTTTTTAAGCAAATTTGTAGCTGATAATGGTATTTTTAATTGATTAGTATTTATTAAAAGCATTAAAACGTAAATAATTCAAGTGTTTTGTCTGAAAACAATGTTTTGTTATTGACATAAATATGGCGCCACCTTGTATTTTTTATTCTTATTAGTTTATACTTCTATTAGGGAGGATGTACTCTACTTGCATAACTTGATCAAATAAGAACATTTTTTTTAAGAATTTGGGCCTAACCGTGAACACCCTCTTAATCTCTAGATTACGGTACTAATATAATTTAAAGGCTTTTAAGGGGAGTATACGAAGAATTATCATTTGTTTTGAGTTTATCTGTCATATCTAAATGTATCGTTATAATAAGTAAATTAAAAAATATTTCTAGGTACTTATAGCAATTCATTTTTAAATTTTGAATTAATGTTTTGCATTTGACGTATCACGTATTTCTGTTAGTCAAATCTGTTCATTTGATGCCCATGTGGAGGGTATGTGCAAAAATAAATCAACATGTCATTCGCCATTTTGTAATGACAACCATCTTAGATTTTTCATAGCGTATTGTAGTATACGCTCGTGAAACCCTTTCATTTGATGTCCATGTCGGGGGATTTATGCAAATGTGTCATTTATGGGCGTATGATATCATTATGAAGGATATTTTGTTTCGAAAATGAGTTTTCTACAGAAAATGACACAGATGAAACGACGTACTCTAGTGATTTCATGTGAACCCAGACATAGATCAACCAGCGTTAAGTCCGTACTCCACGCAACAGAATGACTCATTTTTTTTATATTATAAGGTGGCAAAACGAGCGAACGGCCACCTAAAAACGCTTAAATAGCGAAGTAACCGTTGCCCATAGACACATGCAATTGCATATGCGTTGCCTACCTATAATGTTAAAGCGGGCTCTACCACTGATAACCTCATCCTCGCAATATTATAATACCATAGTTTTTTATCAGTACAAACGACGTCCACAGCTTCATGGTCCTATTCTTATTCGCAAATTATTATTATTTTTAGTTTTTCTTTTGTTAGACATTTAATCCTTTTTTTATATACTGGCTTAACATGTGATCCAATGAAGAACACAAAACAAGCAACAAACGCAGCAAATGTAAATGGGGAATAGTTTTCCTAATTGGGTAATTAAGTCATAGAGTTAGTCTCAAAAAAATCTTTGCGTACACAATATAGGAAGACAATGTGAACAATAATAATTTTAATTAGTCAAGTTACAAAATAACTTAATTGTTACTTATTATTAATTACTAATTGTATGGGAATTTTAAATCAAGACCACGTGTGTAGGTCGAATGCGAATTTCCGCCTGCTTCCTTTATCATTTTTTTTCTGTTTATATGAAATAAATTCCTATTAACTAGCTAAGATAACGATTATGTTTTAAATATTATTTGCAAGCCAAAAATTTTGAAGTTGTATTTTTGATATTTAAAAAATATTAAAATCATAATCTCAAAAATGGTCTTTTGTATATAGGTGGGTTAAATTTATCACAAATAGTTACTCTTCCTATAGAGAATACGCCGAATTACCAATCAACCTGTATATAAACTACAGTGTGTTCTCAAAAGACTTCTATTGAATACTTTATGATTCGTTCCGCGCTAACTCAAAAATTATTTATTATATTAATTTGTTCGATCACGTTTTTTGTTTTCAGAAACAGAATATGTTAAAATGCCACCTGTATTCCATCTGGACCGATACGAGCTATGCATAGACCAAACCGGAGGAATCTATTGTACTGCGGAAATAGATTTAGTTTCAGACAGTGACAACGATCTCTTAGAAATGATACGTGTAAGATTTATTTATGAAATGATAGCAGTCAGCCAACGTCTTAATGAGACAGTTAAACATTATATCCTCGTAACATCTAGGTAAAGTTAATTTTAAATCTTACAGGAATACAGCGAGCGGAAGGAAACTCATTTCAATCATTCGCGTTTGCATTATGGTATTTGTTTGACGAAAATGTGCAAAGACTATTTAAAACCTAATACGACAAGTTCAAAAGATTTTAATTTAGTTATTGAACAATGTTTGAATATATCATTTTGGGAGCAATATAAGTTGAAAACTAGAATAAAAGAAGATACGATGTGTCATACTAAAGACCAGTATTATCCTATAGAGCCAATAGACATAGTTGTCGCAGTGATACTTTTATGTATATTAATATTAAACTTGTCTGGAAGTATTTACCATATACTAATTGTTAAGAAGAATTATTCAGGTAAAGAAGACCTTTTGTTTCCTTTTCTTTGCGACGACGACGATCGTCGTTTGTTTTCTCATTGCTCATTACTTTAATATCGACATATTCGTCCGACAGGCAATAAGTGGCTGCTATGATTTTCAATTCAACGAAACTGGTCCAAATTAATTGAAACTCGAGAAGATAGCAGAAAAAATAATAGCTTAAACGGTTTAAAAGGAATGAAGTACGTTTGTATACACAAAATTTCACTGGATTAGAACTATTAACTTTTATCAACCAAATTGATTTTTCCTTCGTCATTTCTATCCCTACGAAATCTATCGCACCCTCAAACAACGTTAAAATATCTTTGTTCTTATGAAAAGCGATAGAGATCGCAACAACATCTGTTGTATGAATGGGCCGGCTCGACCTGTGAAATACCACAACCACACAGAAGATAGGCGTGAAGTTAAAGCAATTCTACTTTTCATAGGAAGGGGAAGAGGATTTTAACGGAGTATGGGACGTATAGAAAGGGGAAATCTTTAGCGCATCTGCATCAGAGCTAGCTCGTTTTCCACCTGATAAAATTAAATAAATTTAATTAATTTATAATTATTTGTTTTTAATAAGTACTTTTTTCAACATTTTCAGAGTAATTACAATAGTCTTGGTAGTATTTTTACACTCTTTAGTGCCTTTCGTGACCATATTAGATAATACGCAGTTCCTAGAAACAGTGAGTAGATCATTTAAATAAATGCACTTTTTATCTTAATCTTTGTAATATACTCGTCCTGTCTGTGAAAGTACCTATTTAAAAATAAAATATCACCTTAACGTTTACAGAATATAACAGAAATAGACAAAGTTTGATACCAAATTTTAACAACTTTTTCGTTTTATTTCCAACTTTAAAGGCGTCTAAACACATTCTGACTAAGCATTAGCAAAGTAATCATTCATTTAACCCAGCCGGCGATGGTTTTCACGTTAAGGGTGTTCAAAGATGCACTGCCTTCGCTGAGAAGACACAAACAGATTATTAGCAATATTTAAGAATAATTGCCGTTTTCAAAGTCATTGTGCAGTTTCTGTTCTTTTTCATTGTATGTTACAGGCATATAATAATATTTTGTACCATTTCCTGTGTGACGGTACTGTAACAGTTCAGACGTTCTTCATGATTTCTGGATGTCTGACATCGTACAATCTCCGAGTGATATCAGAAGAAAATACATTATGGAAAAAAATACCGATATTTATATTATTAAGATGGTTAAGGTAAGTTTCAAATACTTTGTATACACTTACTGAAATTTTCTAAACGACAATTGATCATCGTCCTGATGCCTGAGCGGCGCCTTTATCTTTTTTATACATCCATTTTTATTTAAAAAAATATTAGGTTTACTTTTAACTTTTACAATTTCGGAGAAATTCCAAAATCCAAACTGTAAGTATTTGCTATCTTTGATATGCTATCTGTAAAAATCTTGAAAACTATCTGAATAAATTGAAGCGTCAATAGCCTAATGGTTTAAGGTGCGGATTCCCGATCACGAGGTCGGCGGTTCGAATCCCGCCATTCTACTATTGTCGTAAACCATATCCTAGCACAAGCCTAGAGCTTAGTTGGAATAGTAAAAGAAATATTACAATAGTAAATTTAAAAAAAAATCTGCTAATATTTTACATTAAAAAAAAAAATATATATATATATATATATTTTTTTTATATATATATATATATATATATATATATATATATATATATATATATATATATATATATATATATATATATATATATATATATATATATATAAATATATATATATATACTCTTAAAACAACAGGTATTATTTAAGGTTACTTACGTCTTTCCCTTAAAAAAATGCGAAGTTCCACAAAAAATCCCTTGTACAACACAGTTTAGACTATAGCAAGTTAATTTATGTTCAACAGACTCACTCCAATTTACGCAATAACTTTAGCCATTACTGCGTCATGGCTAAGATTTGCGGGATCAGGACCGATGTGGCATGTGAGTAATTTATTAATTGATAAAATTATATTTATTGGTAATATTACTAACAGTTTATTACAAAAACTACTGCTCCATATGAAAACTATATTTTTTTTTAATAGAAACTGATAGAATCCGAAGTAAAAGACTGCCGTCGTGACAGTTGGCAGAACATGCTCTACATAAACAACTATTTTGACAACACTCGCTGCATGGCGCATACATGGTGAGAAAGATACCATGTGATACATGGATTTTTTTATCCCAACGTAAGACAAAATTATGTGACAAATTCCTAGAGTTCGATTAGAGATAACTGGCGAATCGATATGAAGGTTACGAAGGTTGAGGAGCAAAAGGTTAGCGTGGCTTGGACATGTTATGCGGAGGGATGATAAAACAAACAAAAACGTAATGAGATTGAATGTGGATGGCTACAAAGGTAGAGGAATACCAAAAAAATAAGGATGGATTGTGTGAAAGAGGATATGCGTAAAAAGGGGTTAGTATACAGATATGACGACTAATAGAGGTGTATGGAGGAGTAGTGCATACTGTGCCGACCTTCCGTATGAAGGTTATGAAGATAAAAGGTATTCAAGAGCAGTAATTCAAATGCAAACATAATTATTTATACTTTATAGGTATGTGGCAGCGGATATGCAGCTGTTTGTTTTGGGAATATTTACGTTAGTAATGACAAGGAGCGATCAGAGGAGACAAGTTGTGCTCTGGATTATGTTCGTACTTTCTCTCATCATAGTACCGTTACATACGTATTATCAAAATTTATACGCTCATGTAATTGTATCGCCAAAGTAAGTGCTATTATTTTATTACATTTAAAGTACCAATTCAACCTTGCTCATTAAAATAATTTTACAGATTTATTTTGGAGTGGTTTGTCACAGATCCTACCTTCAACAACTCGTACAAACGCGGTCACACAAATATTCCATGTTACATTTTAGGGCTCATTCTCGGTTTGATTGTATATAAATTGCAGCAGGAGCAAATACATATTAAAAAATATAAGGTAATCCATTCATAGTCACTGTGCTTTGCGCTACTAGCCTAAGCTACATAGTCAACCTTAATTATAAATCACACTGGTATATTTATTTCAATGCACCAATAATAAGGTTTTTTGTGGGTTAATTTTTTGATATATTTGCATTTTTTTTTTCTTAAACATGATCAGTAAAACAGGTAACGCTCAATTTATCTGGTCATTTAAAAGTAATTGCGTATTAAATATTACTATATAAGAATATAATTATGTTTCAATGTTTCTTTTCCAGATATACAAATATATGTTCTGGGCACTGTGTCCCATGATGTTTATATTGATAGTTTGTCGCGGCATTTTATACATGGACGGAGTAACACCAAATCTCGCAGTTAGAGCTGTTTTTTCCGGCATATACAGACCTCTCTTTGGATTGCTTATGTTCCTATTCATAATAGGGATGGTAATTAAAGTCGAAAGTAAGTAGATTTCATTAAGATTCAAATAATTTAAAAATAGTATTAGAAATTCATATATAATTCATATATAATAAATACAAGTTACAAAAAAGATAAATGTCAAATAAATGGAAGACATGGACAGGACGTGCGATAAGAGGTGCCTACGGGGTTAAACAAAGTGCATTCGCTTCGAAGCGATTCCATAACGAACTTCAAAAATGTATAGAACTGACAATAACTTTCGTTAAGTCACGTGACTATCGCGTGTCATTCCCATGCATTTTTTAAATTCGATATGTAATCGCTACGAAGCGAATGCACTTTACCTAACCCCTCTTTGCCTCTATTCATTAATCCGGAGATTGACATAAGAGAGTGTAGATTTTAGAAGTAAGGAACATTTAATTTTGTAGTGTATTCCAAAGAAACAGGGCATTGTAATCAAACTACACTGAAATGTCTTTGTTGTACTTACCATATTCACTTAAATTTACAATTTTTATAATCACAAGGCTTTACTAATTCATATTTTTATTTCCAGATGTTTATAGAACAATATTAGAATGGAGATTCTGGACGTCAATCGTTCGCTTGTCGTACGCCGTCTACATCATACATGCGATATTGATACAAATTAGTGTTTACTCTAGAACTACATTAAATCATTTGACCATACATGAAGCTGTAAGTTATGTTTCTTGAAGTTAGTAATAAGCAAACCAGGCAGTTATTTTCGAAAGAGTATCAGCTATTGTTAAGTGATCACTGTTTTCCATTGACTTATGTACCATCGACTTAGGTGTGTAGCTCAGAAAACTGACACATGATAGAAAAAAAATTGTCTCCGTACAATGGGTACGGGCACTAAGCAATTGATGGATGTCTTCTTAGGCTAAAAGGTCGATAGCACAAACGGCGTCACATCTTACTCTATTCTGATTTCTGTTCTTGGTCTCAGGCCATAGCCCAATCGTTTTCATGTCTGCCGCCGTTGAGCAATAATGAATAAAAAATATATTATTGCATACTGTAATTAAAAATAATATTTAAAAAATAATGCATATTTTCAAGCGAATATCAATTTCAGATAATAACGTCGTACGGAACAATCGCCTTATGCTTTCTATGTGCTGTACCTCTTTGGTTACTGGTCGAATCACCAATTTCGCAAATTATTCGACATCTAACGTCTACAAGTATAAAAAATAAAAAGCCTGGACAGTAAGTATCAAAGTGCTAACTAAAAAGAATGTTATGGCACTTTTTTGACAGGGGGCGCTAGCGAGCTGTCATAATTTATTCATTGTTTTATTTTTTTAATATTAGCAGATTTTTGTTAATTTACTATATTTCTTGTACCATTCCAACTAAGCTCTAGGCCTGTGTTAGGTTTATGACATTAGACGAATGGCGAGATTCGAACTCGCGACCACTTGATCGGAAATCCGTAGTCTTAACCATTAAGCTATTGGAGCTTTATTTAGTTTGACTTATAAAGACCTGGTCAGATATCCTTGGCGATTTTTAGGTGCAATTCACAACTTCAATTTATTTGCTATGTTTTTAATAATAGTATTGAGCGGTTTTCCTTTTCTCCGTTCTCTTTTACAGATAATATGAGTTTCCAGCTCACTTGATGAATTATTAATTAACTAACTGTCACCCGCGGCTCCGTTCACGCGGGATTAAAAAAACTTAATTAATAGTATACGTGTTCTTCCAGACTATCTTCTACATCTATGCCAAATTTCATCGAGATCCGTTCAGACCTTCTGGAAACACCTTCAAACAATCCATCCATCTCAACATTCGCATTTAAAATAATAGTAAGATTATGCAAGAATTAAATCATTAGTTTTCATACAATTTGAATCAGACAAAGACATCTCGCGGGTTCTGGAGCATTGCCTAATTAACGAGAAACAAGTGGTCCGACCGAGCTTTGAACTCGCCTCGAGAGGAGCTTTACATTTCCAAATTTGGTTGCACAATTCATTATAATTAACATTTGAATAACCCGGCTACGTGTACTAAGTTTAATTTGATTATAAAAGAGTAAAGTCTCAAATCCTTGATCAAATGAAACGTATTTTTTGTGGAACTTCGCTATTTAAAAGATAACTCTACAATTTTTTTTCTATCCGCGATACTTTTATCATTCATAAAACAATGCAATCGGATTTTTTTTTTCTATTGTTTAGGACTTGATAGAATAATTTATCTTCTCTATATTTTATAATTTTTGTAGAGATCGAATATTGATTTCAGCAGTGACATCTATAAAAGCGTTTGCTGTGACTACAAATGAAAAGCAAACCTTTGAAGTACGTAGAGCGTGAAAGGTATCGCAGAGAGAGGAAAGTTCCTAGTGCTAAAGTAAATGAAAAAAAAACAATATCTTTATTTTGCTCTATTAGTAAATGACCAATACATATATGCATTTTGTATAACATGTATAATATATTAAGTATATGCAATAAAATAATATAATATAATTGTTGCGGCAACACGTGGTTGTGATGCCAGAGTGCGCCACGCGTCATAGTTGAATCTTTTTTTGTTATTTTTTTTTCTGTCATTAATTTATTTTTCTATTATTTTTATTTATTAATGCTAATTTCTTCTTGAGAACACAGAATTATAATTACACGCTTATAAACATTATTATTAAGAACATTTATGAATTTATTTAAGCGTATTCATAGCACTATAATGTAAGATAGTAATATAAATGTATTATTTTAATCTTCGATGTTTTTAACATATTCTAATCGATTAGAGGAATATTTTTTTTTCTATAAAATAAAATTATAGTTTACTTCAGTTACTATAATTATTATAAAATGCTTTTATGATCAGCCATAACTCGTAGGATACAGACATTAAATTCGAACATTGGATACAGTTTGTTGTA